CCCCCCCCGCGGCATCTCCCCCATCGCGGAAGTCTGTCTCCCTTCCTCCCCTCTCCTGTCCCCTTCCCCGGAGGGGAGTCTCGGGCTGCGCCCAGCGGTTTGCCCGCCGGCGCTTGGGTATGGGGGTCCCGAGGTCTGCCCCCTCACTGGTGCCTGCACCCTTGGATCTACTTAACTCTCAGATGCGCAACTAGTCTCTAACTTACTAAGTGGGAAAGGTTTGCAGTTAGTCCTAAGGCAAGTCAGGAGTCATCAAGATTTAACACAGATTCTACCTTGGACCTTTATGGAAGGTGACAAAGTCTATTTAAAAACAGTTGCCCCCCCCCCCCAAGTTTTGGGGCTACTAAGAATTGGTGCAGAGCGCTGGGACTGGACTGGAGGAGTGGTTGGGGAAGGAAAACTTGCCCGGGCTTGGTGTCTGTGTTTTGTTTGTTTTTGCAAAGGGATGTGGCTCTCAAGTTGATGTTTGCTCCAGCATCAAACCTCAGAAGAGTCGTCTCAGTCGCTGCCTCCGCCCTTTACTCGTGTGCCTGTATGCATTTTCTTTGTTCTTTTTGGCAAAGCAGTGGCTGAAGTAAGCAACTCCGCACTGCGTGTTGAATAGACTGTCATTCAAGAACTAGTGAAGTCAGGTTCCTATAAACAGCTCAGAACTTGTGGCAGTGCTTGGGGGAAATAGAGACATACACTCGGGGAGAGAGGGAGTCTCAGAGGTGATGGGGTTCAGCTCCTGGACCAAGCCCTGGTTGTACCTGTCTGGGGACATCCCTGGGGTTGGGGGACTCCATGTTCTGAGAACGTGTCTGTTTGCAACTCCAGTTGTCAGAAAGCTTTTCTGTGTGTTTAGTATAAACTGTCTCCACCCAACAAGTGTTCCATTGGTCTGGCATTATCAGGCCCGTGAACAGTGTATACATGGCAGCCTTTCAAGTATTTTGAAAATATCCCTTTGCATTCCTTGTAAGAGTTCTGGGTTTCAAGATAAGAAGTCTCAGTTTCTTCCATTATTCTGCGGAAGGAGTGGTTTTGGGTCCGCCCCAGCTCATCTTCCACGTGAATTACTTTGTCCATATTCTTGAGAAGTGACATTCAGGTTGGAGCATGGCCCTCCATGTATAATCTGACAAACCCAGCGTAGACTGGAATGGTGACCCCCATTATCACAGCTTCATGTTGTCTTGACCCGGCCATAGTCACAGCTTCATTAGCTGTCAATCATGAGACCTTTCCATGGCTGCTGCTGCCCAGCCATCTTCCTCACTGCACCCTGGCAGTCAGTTTTGGAAGGAGGTTGTCCTGTTAGGCTGTGATCAGTTACTGTGAGTAGTGAATTATATTAAGGATTGCAAAGTATAATCAATCAAGTGCAGCGTCCAAACAATGATCTGCCATTGCTTTGAAAAATTGGATTTGATGGGATTATAGATCTAGGTTTGGTTTGGCGAGGGTAACTTTGAACCTGTTATTGGCGTTTTTGGTGGCATGACTGAGCACATCGGTGGTCAGTACTAAGCAGTGGTTGTTTCCAGTGTGAGGTAGTGTTAGATTACCAGGCAAAGTTAATATGTGTTAGACCCTGCAGATGGTCACATGCATCCTAGCAGTGGCAACAGATAGGGTTACCCCATAGTTATTTAGTCTGTCATTTGGGACAAAGATGATCAATGTGTTATATGGTAAAGAATGTTGCTCCCTTGAGAATTTTTAAAAGCTGCATTTGCTGTTGGGTAAAGAAAATAGGCCTTTGGCCAGATAGTCCTGTGTTTGAATTCCAGCCTTCTCCTCACACGTTGGTGTGTGATCATGAGCAAAATGACTGCTCTGTCCAAATTTGCCTCATAATGTTGTGAAGCCAAAATGAAGTTGTGACTGGCAGGTGGTGCCGGTAAAAAGGTTGTAGCTATTTTTGCAAAAAGCTAGCCTTTGCATGTGTCATAAACTTTCAAAGTGAGGCAAAGTGGAAAGTAAGTGGAAGGTACTCAGTAGAAAATGAAACGTGTCCAGTATCAAGTTTGTGTCTGCCTTCTGAAGATAGAATGATGGTATTGAGATGGAAGGACAGAACATTGTATACAGGCTTCTGGGGGAAGAGATGGCTTTCAGATCCACCGTGGAATATAGATACGTGGTTGTAGGCTTTTTCCTAAATAGATGGTGAGGCAGCCAAACACAACTCCACTTTTAACCAGTGACCCAAATTTTAAGATGACTGTCCTAGACCAGGGATGTAGATTTGAGCGTCAGAACTACGTGGCTTATCCAAGATTAAACTTGACCTCATTAGTGCTTTTTCCCACCCAGCTAAATTAACTGTCCATGGACCATAATCTCACAAGGACTTTGAAACAACAACTTAAAATGGGAGTGAAAATTGAATAATTGGACCATCCTAGTGATTTGAAAAGCCTATTCAGCTCTAAGATCTTGATGATGAAGGTGAATTGTTCCAACCGTAAAACAAAAGAGCGTTTGTGTTAAGCCCCACCTTTTGTCACTGGGCCGGCTGGCTGTGTTTTCCAGCATCTTGTTAGGCATCGCAAAACAATTTGTGAGCTAACACATGAAGTAGAGTTCAAAGCAAGAAGGGATTTATTTGCAAAGCGGAAGTACACTCCAAGAGAGGGAGCGGGCTGGCTCGACGTGAGCGACTGCCCTGGGGTTTGAGTAATTTTTAGGTTATACAGGTTGTGGAGGGGTGGAGGAGGGGATTGAAGGGAGTCTGTCCAGTTGGCTTGTTGCCGCCTCCGTCATGTCCGGAGGGGGGGTTTTTCCCATTAGATGGTCTTGGCGGAACTGTTGTGGATTCTGTCAGCCGCAAGGGGGGTCAAAACCGCAGTGTAAGTTGATTATGACTTAAACATAATGAGGATGAGGTCAGGGCGCAGCAGGTGGAAGCCAGCTCTGTGCCTGTCGGGCTGCAAAACAGGATGTTGTGAGTGTTGAAGGGGGGCCCTCCGAGGAGGCTTCTTTTGTGGTTTGTCAGCTTTTATCCCTTCCCCTGCTCATGTCTGACTTACTACCTGCCTACAACACTGTCACATGTGTTGTGTACTTGTAAGAATCTGAAGATTAATCCGTGTGGTTGTTGATTTTCATTCCTGCGAAAACCTCTTCCACCACAATTGCCAGTTGTGTACATGGGTGTGTGTATGGAATCCCCCCCAGTGTTTCTTTATGATTTTCCTTCTGCTGTTAGAAATCCAGAGGTTTGTGAGGGGGAAAGCAAGTATAAACTTTGTAATAATAAAATTATAATAGGTTATTGTGGAAGTTGTTAAGATTGAAAAAATGTGTCAGTGTTTGTGAGACTTTGTGTTTTCTTTTTTCCTAACAATTTATATCAGATGTTTTGTAAAACATTAGCATTTTATGTGAAATAAAACCATTATTTTGAAAAAGTTACATGGGGTAAGTATAAAATTGGAAAAGATGTTTATAGTTTTGGAAGAGTAAGACCTCTACAGATGAAAGCATTTTCTCTATGAATTAGATGAAGGCACATTGTATTTTGGTGTTGGCTTAGAGGGGCACACATGCTTTTACTTTTTCTTCTTGAAGGCAGTTAGGAAGAAGGTAAGAAATGTACTTTTTATCTTAAAGAGCTGGAAGGGTTGCTAGGGTACACTTGGAAAGGGTGTGTGAGTTCCAGTGGCAGCTCCTCCTACTCCTAAGCCTTAGCCTTGAAACAGAGTTTCTCTTTGTAACAATAAGGTGTTTGTAGTAGTATGTTTTGTTGGGGAACAGTTTTGTTGATACTGTTTTTGCTTGAAATTTGTATATCGAATATTCAAATCAAGAGATTGAATGGATTGCTTGACTTGATATTTGTAGGTATGTGGGGGCATAGAGTTGCCAGATAAAATACAGGACACCGGTTAAATTTGAATTTCACATAACGAACAATTTTTTAGTATTTTTTGTTTACTGAATTTCATTTTTTATGCTTTTAAAGTTTTATTTGCAAAAAAAGATCTGTAGCACTTGAAATATTCAAAGAGAAGTTGATATTAGAATGATTTTTTAGACATATCTGCTCTTTTTTCGTGTTTACATTCAATGATTTTGCCATTGGATATGTCCCTGTTAAGGCAGATCTGTATTCAAGATAATTTTAGTCCTAAATACTTGACTTTCTAGATTGATGACTTTTAGTAGTGTTGAATTCATACTTTAATGATGTTTTTAAGTTGTGAAATATGTTTTAGGTATCTCAAGTTCTTTTGAATTCAGTCGATATTATAAATTACAAATTTACTTCTGGATGGATATAATTGAATTTCAGATTTAACTAGAGTTCTTTTCCTTCTGAATCTGGCATCCTTGGGGGTGAGTTGGGGTGGGTGGGTGTTGGCAAAATACATTCCATCTGTGGTATTTTCAGAATTCAGAATTTGAAATTGGTTTGGATGTAGAACTTCTATTGTTCTGCTCTTACCTTTCGTAGGGATAGCTCTGTTTACAAATTTCTGATTGCAGTGTTGCCTGCGTGACCGTGAAGATGGGAGGTGCCGTGAGTGCCGGGGAAGACAACGATGAGCTGATAGACAACCTGAAGGAAGCACAGTACATCCGCACGGAATTGGTAGAGCAGGCTTTCCGGGCTATCGATCGCGCAGATTATTATCTTGAAGAATTTAAAGAAAATGCTTATAAAGACTTGGCGTGGAAGCATGGCAACATCCACCTCTCGGCCCCATGCATCTACTCCGAGGTGATGGAAGCCCTGGACCTGCAGCCCGGGCTCTCGTTCTTGAACCTGGGCAGTGGCACTGGCTACCTCAGCTCCATGGTGGGGCTCATTCTAGGTGAATCTGGAGAGAGCTTGGGAGAAGAGTCTGCTGGCAGTATTTCCTTTGTAGGGACCGTGGCCACCTGCCCTTGGCCTTCCCAGCAGTTACGTGGTGGTGGTAGACATAGTTACTGGGTAGGCTGGTACAGGGAGAGCCCTGAGTTTTCTGGAAGGACCCCTCCTGTTCCCTATCCCTTCCCACCTGCACCTCCACTGTCTGTTCAGCACACCCTCCCTCTAGACAATGGAGGACTTAGAGAGTTGTGTAAGTCTGGGCTTTCTGGGCTATTTCTTGATTAATACAGTCACTCAGCCTGCCTGTCACTCTGTCTCTAAACTGAGAATAATTAACTTTTAAGTCCTCTGGGAGTTAAAGTTCTTCCAAGCAGTTTTTGTTGTTTTAATACTAAAAGAGTAATACCTGTAAGTTGTTTATTAAATTTCAGGGATGGGAGGGATTTCACAAGTTATCTTATTTGAAGCCCTTTAGCCTATTTTCCCAGACAAATAAGTTGTGAGACTGTACATGGGAATCAGCCATTTTTAATGTTGAAACAACAGTATCAGATAACTGGGGATTTGTTTAATTCCTGCTTTGCGTAAAATGTGGTGGTGGGGGAAAGGCCTGTGTTGTTCCTCTGAGGGAGGTGCAAGGGTTTGCGGAGGAGTGAGGGGCCGCGCTGTGCAGTAAGGTTGCTCTGAAGAGGAAGCAGGGGGGCTGCCCTCTGCTGAGTTGGTGGTGGCAGAGCACAGGCGCTGCATGTCTGTACGTTCTGATGTCGGAACTGACAGGATTTGCTAAATATCAAGAATGCCCCCCAAGTTTTTGGCTTAAGTATCTTGACATTGTTATTAAATTAGAGTATGATTCTGAATGTTGGAGATTTCAAGTGATAACGGTTTACAAGTCATGTACAAATTGTTAGCATGTACATCTCGACGTCGTTTCTTTATAGTTGTTAACAGCCACTTTGGAAAGTCTTAGCACTAACAGTTGATTTTTGTGGATATGGAATGAAATTTTTGGTTTCTTTATAAGTTCATATACTTCGGAATTTGGTGAAGTTTTGAGACTCATCATTTGACTTCAGGCTGTAAATTGCTACCCTCAAATTTTTAAATGTGTAGGTTTTTTTCTTTTTTTAAGCCAAATGCTTTTTGAACTTGACTTGTCTTGGATTGAGACTGCTTTTCAAAGAGAGCCCAGATTATTTGTCAATCTGGAATTAGTGATTTGTAATTCCCCCCATAGGAGCTGAAAGTTTGGAGGAGCTAAGGATAAAGTGGTATTTGTGGGGAGAGGGGGATGGATTATCAAACGGACTACATTGGAAATACTATAAAAAAGAACCGAGATGCTTTGGAAAAGATGACTTACAGTAAGCCTGAAGTGACCTGTTGTGCTCGGCGTTCCCTGGCAGTTATAAAAACACAGTTTACAGTCTGATGTTGTTGCTTCTCTTTTCTGAGGCCCCTGTTTACTGGGAATTTCCTTAGATGTCGGGGGAGGAGAGAGCTGAAGGAAGGAGAGCTGTGTTTCCGGCTGTAATGGACACTGCATGCTGCTTAGATGTATTTGAAGGAGATGACTTGAGAGTTTGCTTCCACGGATGGATGTCTTGGATCTGCAGGGAGAAGGCTGTGGCGCGCTGGACCAGTGTCTCTGTCTCAATGCCGTTATCTCCTGGGCCACCCGCTCCAGTTTATTCACCCTTAATGCTGCTTCGTGCAAATCACTCCAGAGGTGAAAACCTTGTTGGGCTCCCAGTGTCTGCAGGTGTGAGGTGTGAAGTCCTTTATCGGACACAGAGGTCCTTACTCTGACCCCGGCTGCCTTTCTGCTGGCCCTGAACTTGATCCCTTTTCGGCCACGTTCCTGTGCTCGTTGTGTGGGCTCTCCTCCTCCGCTGAAGGCTCTCCTTTCTGTCGTTCTCATCAGCAGGGGGAGATAACAACACCTGCTTCAGAGATGGTGACTCATAAGCTCACCCAGTTGAAGTGCTCTGTGAGTGCTCTGGGAGCTGCTTGCCTGGTGTCCTCTCGGATCCACCTTCAGCACCGTGTCCTTGGTGCTGTTGTCCTGATCTCCTATGTCCTCCCTCCCCCTTTAGACATCTTTGGGGTGGTCGGGAGATCTGTCTTACTACTCTATTTGGTAGTACTCTGTCTGGTATTACTCTTCTTGGGAATAGGAACTATGTTCTATATCTAGTATTAGAATTAACTGCTTAATAGGTATTTGATAAAAAGTGAGGGGCTAATGAAAATATGATGAGTGGGAAAATAAGAGCCTGTTTTCTTGGTCTCTGGCACAGTGCTCCTGTGCCAGAGAGCAGTGGGAATTGAAGTTAGTGACTTGGCAGAGGGTCTTGAAATTGGAATAATTTGGATTTGAGTTATTATTATTATTTATTCCAATTGGAATAATTTGTAAATAGTGATAGCGTGACTTGTCAAGTAGGGTGTGTTTTGATGAGAGAATGTTTTAGCAGCAGCTCTGTGTATGAAAGATGTTGAGAGAAGAGAGCATCAGGTGAGTTGTCCAAGTGGAGGACAGGGGAGCCTTGGCCTGAGGTGCTGGCTGTTGTGTTAGGAAGGGACCAGATAAACCTCAGTGGCAAAATGCAAAGATGTGGCCCCACAGATGGTTGCTTATTTACCAGTATTTCTGTTGGACTGTAGGGTTGAGTGTTATACTGTGACTTTAGTTTGTATGTCTATTAAATACAGTCCTACAGGCCCTGTTGATTTTCACATGCATATATAAAAAAAGTGGGGTTTAACTCACCTATAGTAAATGAACAAGTGGTTGGTCATTGGTGTTCAGTGGAGGTTGGTTAATTTTTACACGTGTCCACCTCCCTGTGTGCCACCCAGAATAAGAGGCGGAGTAGAATCAGCGCCCCACAGGCTTTCCTGCCCTGCCCTCAGAAAGAGGACCCACCCCCTCCAGAAAGTGAGCACTGTTCTATTCTCCGTCAGCACAGATGAGAATCACCTGTTTTGATCTTTGTATAGAGGATTCCCACAACATGGAGATTCACCTAAGCCATTTGTGTCAGTAATTCTCACCCAGACTTAACCTAGAGCAGCTTTATACAGAGGGAGCGCTTTCATCATTAAGTGGGCTCCTAACTTTTCTCACAGCTTTATTTCCAATTACTGATAAATTTCCTTTGATATAAAAAATGTTTCATTGTGACTGGGATTATAGTTTTAATGATGATTATAACCTATTTTGTGAGGATTATTAAAATGCCCACATCGGAGTGTTTGGGTAGACCTTTTATGGAAAACAGGCCTCTGTCCAGTTTCATTTGCAAATACATGTTTCTTCTTCAGTTCATTAGTAAGACCTTGAAATCTTGGTTTCAGACCTTGGCTTTTTTATATTTTCAAATGATTCTATTAAAAGTTTGAGAGGGAGGGCCAGGCTTTGGAAAGCTGTGGAGTCGGAAATGTCATAGAGATGAGTGTTTAAGCTGTGGTTAACAGAGGCTCCCCTGCATACTTAAAGATTGGCTTGGGTGATTTAGGCCCAGTAATGTGGTAAGATTTCAAAAACTCGTGAATTTTGTAATTATACATGCTAAATCATACGCATCACAATTGATAAAATAGAAATAAAGAGTACGAGTTGTTGCCCTGGTTCTAAAGGTTTTCTTAAACCTTTTAGGTCCTTTTGGTGTGAACCATGGGGTGGAGCTGCACTCGGATGTGATCGAGTACGCGAAGCAGAAGCTGGACTTCTTCATCAGGACCAGCGACAGCTTTGACAAGTGAGGCCCAGTACCGTCCACTGGGTCGGGGTGTGAATTACGACTTAGGCTTTTGATGAGATGGAAGGAAATCAGCTTATTAGTGTTCATGTACCAGCAAGCATGGTTGAACTGTGGCAGGAGAATCAGTGGTGTATATGTTTCTGTTCTAATTATTTTTTAAATATCTTGTGTTTTTAGGGGCTTTAAGTTTTTTTAACTATTATAGCTAAGTAAAGGTAATTTTTCACCAATATAATAAGAGAAGGAAATAGACTGTTCGTTTTGCTCAAATTTCCTGTTTCCAATAGAGACCACATTTTATCACCTAATTATTTCTAAAAGAGAATGGTTGCATTTGTCTTTAAACAGTATATATAAGTAGCTATTGCCATTTTTAAATAAGGCATTCTTATTTAAGGGATTAACGTTTCTAGAAAAACCTCATTTTTAGTAGATCTTGAGTAAGATAATGAGTTACAAAAACAGCGAAGACAGTGATGATGGGAGCTTGGATGATTTTAAGCTTGGATCATGCTTATGATATTCACTTTTATAATATTTTGTTTGGAGTTTCTAGGGTTCTATTTATTCATAGTATAATTCTTTTTGGAAGTCTGGCTTCCAGCTTCTGGCTCTGTAAATTGTATTACATTGCTGTGGGATTTTACAGTGAAAAACAGCCTGTGGTTAGCATAGATTTACTATATAGACATGTTACAGTGTGATATATTTAGTTATGGAAAACATTTTTTACTTTTAGGTTTGACTTCTGTGAACCTTCCTTTGTTACTGGCAATTGCCTGGAAATTTCTCCAGATTGTTCTCAGTATGATCGGGTGTACTGTGGGGCTGGTGTGCAGAAAGAGCATGAAGAGTACATGAAGAATCTTCTCAAAGTAGGGGGGATCCTTGTCATGCCGCTGGAAGAGAAGGTCAGATTCCCTTCTTAACCGATATTTTTGCACTCTTAACTATTTTCCAAGGTCTATTCCAGGAAGTTTACATGTATTTTCCCTTGTAACCCTCGTAACACCTCCCTCCATTCCACAAATGAGGAAACAGGCAGGGACAGGTCATAAAGCCAGCCTGGTGGCCAGGTCCTGACTCAGGCTGGCATCCGGGAGCATGCGCTGAGAGCGCTTCACCTTACCGACCTCCCTTCCCTCTCCTCCTCCTCCCCCTTCTCCACTGCTATTCTCTTATGCTGGTTCTATTAGAATTATAACATATCAAAATTATTACAGGAATTGTATTCTAATTATTAGTCTAATTGTCAAATTCCATGATGACAAGTATTTTACAGGAATTCCTTGCTTAGTAGGAATCTTGTCCAAGTCTGCTATTTGGCCACACATGTTTCTGTATGTTTTAGATATTGTGTTTCATTGGGAAAAACAGATTGTAATAAATGAGCAGATTAATCAGACATGAGTTGGTCATCAAGAAGGATGTCTCAGTCATGAACAACTAGGAAAAACAGAAATGATAAAAATTAGGAGATTGTGTATTTTTGTGCAATTTTCTGCAATTTTTAAATGTTAGCATTTAATTTGTTTTGTTAGAAAGGTAATCATTTATTTTAGAAAATCCAGAAGATATGAACATTAAAAACTGCTCACAGTCCCTACTCTAATGATGTTAGCGTGTGATTCTGGAGTACTTTCTCTTAGTTTGTACTACTTTCTCCAAAAGGTTATTGTACGTGTGGTTTAGCACTTATAATGTTTTACTTAAAAGAGTTCCTGAATGTAATTTTAAGTCATTTAATGTTCCCCATCATCACTTTTAGTGCTTACGTAGTAGTCTGTTATCTAGCTTCTGTAACTGGACATTAGGCTGTGTGTAGTTTTTCAGTTACTTGTTATTATATAAAAACTTCAGTGAATATCTCTAATTAAAAACATTTTTATCCATAAATATTTCAGTATGTAACTGGAAAAGATAAGGGCTCTGTTTTTTAAAACATCATCACAAAACCATTATCAACCTGAAAAATTAATAGTAATTTCTTAATATCTTCACATGTCCAACTAGGGTCCAAATTTTCCTTATTGTCTCAAAATTTGTTTTAATAGTTTGTTTGAATGAGACTCCATTTAAGGTTTATGTATTGTGTTTGGTTGATATATCTCCTGTTTTTTAATCTATAAATTATCCTGCTTCTTTACCTTTTCCTTGCAATTTATTTGTTGAAGAAATCAGATTGTCTTACAGATTTTCCTGCAGCCTGGATTTGGCGATTACTTGTCTCTAGGGTCATGCTTTACATGCTCTTCTCTCTGTAATTGGTATCCCTATAACTTGGTAGTTGGATCTAAAGACTTGAGTAGGTTCCAGTTTGATTTATTTTGGGGGTGGAGAGAGCGTGCAAGAGTACTTACCAGGTGTTACAGTCTGCTTCCCTATGTGGCAGGTGTGACGGTGTGCTTCCCTATGTGGCAGGTGTGACGGTGTGCTTCCCTCTGTGGCAGATGTGACAGTGTGCTTCCCTATGTGTTAGATGTGGCAGTGTGTTTCTCTATGTGGCAGGTGTGACGGTGTGCTTCCCTATGTCAGCGCATCCTATTTCCTGTCTCTTGTTTTCTGATACAAGCAGTGTGATTGTATCAGAATGGATTAGGTCCTGATCCATTCTTTCATTGGGGGCTGCAGAATCATACATTCTGATGCCGTCATTTCTCTTCCTGTAGTAGCTGGAGTACTTAGATAAAGAGAAACACCCTCGTTAGTTACTTGGTTGCCCTGAGGTATACTTTATAAGGAGAGGCAGGGTAAATTCTGATTCTTAACCTTTGTTTATCAGTTTTCTCAATAATCTTGTTCTCTAGCAATCTGCCAAAGGTGGTAACCAGTGACGTTTTGTTTGTTTTTTAGTATCAGTATGAATTCGTGGATTGAAACTTACTTAATATTTTAACCCTTGTGTGATCCTTATTGAAGTTCAGATTGTCCTGTCTTGGCCTGTGGGTGCCTTTCCAGCTTGGCTCTTGGGCTCTGATAGAATCTCAGTAGTCTTTGATAACTTTGTTGCTTTCTGGTATGAAAAGATGTTCCAGACTCATTTTGTATATATTTTTTTTTTACCACAAGCTTGGAATTAACCATTTTTGAGGATCCTTGTTCATTTTCAATTCAATGAGAATTGGGTGTTTAGAGACCATAGTTGGGGCCTTTGGGATAATCTTTGATACTGGGTTTTTTCATTGGACCTGTAGAGCTGGGAAGTTCACACACACACGTGCACGCACACACCCATGTGTGTTTTGTTTTGTTTTGGTTTTTTGTAGATAAAATACACAATGAATTCATATTGATACTTCCAACTCAAAATCAGGACCAGAGGATTTTTCTGACCTCTTCAGTTTATTAGTAACACCTTTCTCTCATGCAAAAGTTCCTGGTCCCCAACCACCCAACTTATTATTTATCCACAATACATAGTATCACTAACAATCTGATTTCTGAAAGTTCAAGATTTTTTTGTTGGGGAGGAGGGCTTTTTTGCCCTTATATTCCACTAGAGATGTACGAATTATCAAGTTTTAAAGTCACTGGGAAATAATGCTTCCCTGTGAGGTTATGCCACCAGCCTGACGCACAGCTCATATGTTTAATTTTCTTTCAGTTTTTAGGGACTGCCATTTTAGGTTTTATAAACTTTGTAAAATATTTACAAGATTCCAAAGTCTAAATAAGGATCACAGAATTTTCTTACATGTATGTCCCCTCTACTCTGTTTCCTTTGCCTGTGGGTAACCTTTTTTTGTTTGTTTGTTTTCAGTTTATTTTTTTATTTAAAAGTATATAAGCGGGGCTGGCCCCGTGGCGTAGCGGTTAAGTGTGCGCGCTCAGCTGCTAGCGGCCCGGGTTCGGATCCCTGGCGCACACTGAGGCACCGCTTGTCAGGCCACGTTGTGGTGGCGTCCCATATAAAGTGGAGGAAGAGGGCCGGCCCCGTGGCTTAGCGGTTAAGTGAGCGCGCTCCACTGCTGGCAACCCGGGTTCGGATCCCGGGCTCGCACCGACGCGCTGCTTTTCCGGCCATGCTGAGGCCGCGTCCCACATACAGCAACTAGAAGGATGTGCAGCTATGACACACAACTATCTACTGGGGCTTTGGGGGGAAAAAATAAAT